GAATCATAATCTTGTGAGAAACTAATCCAATAAAGCATGCAAATCATTGATTAGCACTAATCCTCTTGCTCTGCTCTGTCATGTACATCAGGGAACAATTAGCATTAGTCTTTGTAGATAGTGCACCTGTGGAAAGATGAATGAGTCGAGTTCTTTGGATTAATGGCACTGGTGAGGATAAAAAAAGGCAGGGCGGGAAGTGAAGTTGAGCGTAGAATCCCTAATCGTCTCAAAAAGCCCCCAACGTGACCAGATGCCAGCACTACAATTACTCTGAACCAATTAAGACAAATGGGTTGATGGTGGCCACTGATGCTTTTGTTTACTCGTCGTGCCTTGAGAGGAAAAAAAGCACTTTGTAGAAAATCAGTCAGAGAAAACTTTTCCATGTGTTTCTGCTTTAAAGTTGGACTTTACAATACAGAGAACTGTTATTTGTACAACAGCCACATACGATAACCATTTGACGTAAAGGGGAAAAAAGCTACCCATTTTCTGCACTCCACAAATGTTGCTGAGTGCTGCAGTATCTGCAGATGCTCCTCAGAGCAGTGCCGTGCACTGAGAAATGTGGCTTTTTGATCTGTTATACGTGTCTTCTGGGTGGATGAGAGGAAGCAGACAGCAACATGAAAACCAAATTGAAGAGGTAATAAAAACAGTCTGACGTTGGACTTTTACAATTCTTTAGCATTTCACAAAATCTTTGCATTACAGAACATGAACAGAAAGGCACCAGCACACAAAAAGTTTGAGGCTTTGCCTGAGCTAGCAAAAGTAACGTTTTTTTTCAGCACATGTGCCACTCATCTACACAAAAACAGTGTTGTTGGTGAAAATATATAAATTAAATCTAACTATTGCTTTATGCACAAAAAACGACACTCGAATTGTTTGTAGATTTTTCTACTGCACATCTCACTCACTTTATCCTGATTTAGTCACGAGTTATTGACTGTAAACAAATAACTTATGGAAGCTGAAAACAACCACAGCTGCTGTTATTACACACCATTGGTTGGTTCACTAACTATCTTTCAGATCGGATGCAATGCGTTCAACATAATGGTACTTCCTCCAGTTATTTAACAGTCAGCAATGGTGTACCACAAGGCTCAGTCTTAGGACCCACCCTCTTTACAATCTACATAGGTAATGTAGGTCTGATCATCCCTGATGCATCCTTACATTTCTATGCTGATAGTTGTTTGTTGTCGAGCCAAAACAGTTGCTAAGGTTTTCCAGCTTTTGCAATCCGCTTTCAACATTATCGAGTCAGATTTGTTCCATCTCAAACTTGTCCTAAACGCCAACAAAATCAAAGGGATGCTGTTTTCAAACAGAAAGTCGGTCCCAGAAAATCTTCCTTTGAGTTTAAGCTCGAATGGTGAGTTTGTCAATTCCTACAAATATTTGGGTATCTTGGTCGGCTCACATCTTTCTTTTAAGCTTCACGTGGAAAACTTGGTAAGGAAACTGAAAGTTAAATTGTGTTTCTTTTTCAGAAATAGATCCTGTCCAACTCTGAATACTAGGAAATGCCTTGTAACTGTGAATTTCCTTCCCTCCACTGACTACAGTGACATTATCTACATGAACACCCCTACAAGCAACTTGCAGATGTTGGATGCTGCCTATCACGTTGCATTAAGATTCATAACTGGTTGTAACTATCGTACACACCACTGCACCCTGTATTCACTGGTTAACTGGATGTCATTAACTTCAACCAGACTCACACTGGTACATTTACATCTTTAAATCACTTCTTGGTCTGTTGCCTTCTTACATCTCCTCCTCCATGTCACTGCATGAATGCAGCTACAGCGTGCGCTCTCAGGACATTATTACCTGCAGTGTTCCCTCAAAGAGGACTGAACTAGGCAAAAGGGTCTTCTCCTACTCTGCTCCTGTTTCCTGGAATATTTTACAAAAAGATGTGAAGCTCTTGACCTTGACCTCTCTAAGTGACTTCAAACATCTACTAAATTCATGGGAAAAACCAATGCAGACATGTTCTTGTTTTTAGTTTTCTACAATGCCTTATACTCTAGCTGTTTTTTTGGTTACATTTTCTTTTAAATACCATTTTATTTTCACTTATTCGTATGCAGCCTTTATGATTGTCTATGTGTTTTCCACTGTTCACTTAAAAAAAAAACAGGTCTCTCTTGTAAAAGAGTCCCCGAGGCTCATTGGGATTAACCTTTATAAAAAAAGGTTGAATGAATGAATGAAAAAAAACAACCACCTATGGTTCAAAAATGAGTGGTTCACATGTTAAACCCGCCATCAACACTCATCAAATCAACAAAGCAAAACTAGAACATCAGTAACAATCTGTTGATCAGCAAAACGTTCTTCAATTGGCAATTTAATCAAATGCCAGCACAAATGTCCTGATTTATTTTGTTTATTGGTGGTAAAATGATTTATATTTATCATGAGAAAACAAGTTTTAGGTAAAAATGAATGAAAAAAAAAAGATTATGTCATTATCTGGATGGGGAAAAAAAGCTCTTTAAGACATTTTAATATCTAAACATAATTACATATTGTAACTCTTAATAAAAATAATTGACTTACTTATAAGTGACTAACCATTTTGTAGTCCCCCCCACACACTTAAAGTAATGAGCTTTTTTCTTTTTATTGAGTGAGGTGATGAGGGGCAGCATCCCATAATGTTCAAGTTTGTTAAGTGTATGACTCACCGGGGTTACAGCGGTGGCAATCATTTTAGCTTTATTAATAACAGTACTTATTTCCTATTTAGTCCATAATTATCGGTGGGTGACCTGTTCTTCACAGGGGTGTGACACCAGAAATATTCTACATATGTTTTTATTTAAATACTGGATTTATAGCAGAAAATTCAAGTTTCCATACATTTAATTATATGTAAAACTTATCATATCTGTTTGGAGATCTTGTTTAACAGGAAAAGCTGCCATTAGGCAGTTGGAGGAAGATTAGCAGGGTATCAGCTCCTTTTTGCTCCAGTCAACGTGTCCAAGTAGAACCTCGAATAAGTATAAATGTGGACCCTTGTTTTGTTTCCAGACTGCCGATCCATTTCTCTTCCTTGTCTGGGTTCTACTTTGCAATTTTTTTCTAATTAGTACAATTACTTCTCTTGGTATTTACCATGTTATTTACTTAATAATTCCCTCCTTTTGCAAGCTCCTTCTTCCAGGCCTGTACAACACCATCATGTTTGTGCACCAGATCATACTTCTGTCAGTGTTCTGATTCTGAAGAGCTCTTCCTCACTTGCCAACAGTGTTTAGATGCTTGATGTTGCTGCATCTAGTTTACCCTAAAACCATCCCTTTATTTGGTACATCATTACATTTGCTAGTTACGTTAAATCCAAATTGTCATATACGCATAAAATGAAAACACTCAAAAGAACCAGACGGCAGAAACTTTAGTACCTAGAGCTATGTCAGTCATTAGGACTTGGGTTTTCATCAACATAGATGGAAAAAAAAAAGAAAGAAATAGAAATAGACAGCTACTTTGGCTGATTACAGCATTTTATTGAAGGCTTTGGAACAAAAGAGAGAGGAGAAAAGAAAACAAGGGTTAATTTTTTCATCAAAGTAAAAATGTACAGCATAAGCCAAAACACATCCCTCTAGTGGTTTGCTGCGTACATTAATGGTAAATGCTGCAATTAGAAGAAAATGAGGAAATAAATCATTTACTGAAAAGCTAGTTAGGAACTAAATGTGTTAGTAAAAAGAATATGATTCGAGGATAAGCATAACTCAAACTGCTACTCAACTCTTATCACAGTGCAAAAAGAGTGAGGAAGACTAAAATTGCAGTAACGAGAAAATGAGAACATTGTTTCATAAATGTCAAAAGAATAAATCATAAAGCTATTTTTTTAGTTTCAACTCATTTTTTGTTGGAATTACTTTGACAGCTTACATATCTTTAGACGACCATTTTGACTCTCGAGCCGATAAATGTTCTTATTGAATTATGAATGAACTTGTATCAGCCAATGTGATGTCATTTTCAAGGTGTGCCAACATCAACACGTAACTCGAGGGGAAAAAAATTACAAATTTTTGTCAAATCTAATAAATCAAAGTTTGATTATAAGAACAGATGTGGGAAAGGACAAAGGAAAAGGATGAACAGCTTTCCTCTCCAAGACCCCCCAACTATGAAGGTGTGACTGGAATAATCGCATGGGTCAGAATTCACCGTATCAGTTCAAATGAAACATTTGATTCCCCGACAGCATCTGACATGAACATGACCTTTGAAGGTTTTGCTAAAATGTGAGAAATGGCAACAAATTTAAAAAAAGTATTAATGCAACTTCTGTACAAATATACTTTTACCATTACCTTGAAACACAGAGGTGAAAAATGAAAATGTAAGAGTTTTTGGTTATTAAAGTGCTTTGACACACCATCTATTAGCAGCAGTATGTATATACATATAAATGTGGTTCAGCACATTTACAAGTCAATCATAAAAAAAAAAAAAAACTGCAATAATTCACTCCAACTTAATTTAATTTAAAAAAAGAAGAAGAAAAGTAAAACACTCAGTAGTCACTTCCCTCTTGTTCAGACAAAAGAAAAAAAAATGCAAATGTTCATCCATACTTTACATAAATACAAAATTACATAACCTTTTTCTCCTCTTTTAAGAATAGTCTGTAAACACTGCTTTAGGTTCTTCTGTTTGTTCTAATATTTTCTTCTTCTAATGGTTCTACTATAATCTGCGCACATGGTTTATGTGAACAAAACAAAGAAACAAACAAAAAATAAAAAATACAACAATTTACGAGGCTTTGACTGGCACCTACAGATGATGTTTGTTATAACCTCCCCAACATTTCCAATATCTACATCAATCCTCCAACTTTCTACCCAATCCTTCAAAAAAGTTAAGAAACACATAGAATTAAGTGGAAGCTCTAGTGTTTTTGTGAATGTTTACATGTTTAGACACTCACAAGAAATTCCACCTTTACAAAAAATGATAGATCAGCAGATAACATTGATGCAGATAAAGGTGTTAGCTAAGGACAGTTAACAAGGCTAGATGTGGGTATAGATAAGGCATAGCATGGGTACATTGTTGGGAAAAAATTAATTGGGAGTCCACACATTGGGCAGATTATTAGCCTTCTTTGTGGATTCTCAAAAAATGGTGGAAGAGCGCTGTGTTGGGCAAAGATGTTTCTATAAAGTAGAGAAGGCCTTCAGAAGCCTTGGAGGAACTCCTGGAGCTGTCTGACGAGTTCCGTGTCCACAGTCTCCATCAGAACCCCGAAGCCCTGGTCCCCCAGCAGGGCCTGCTGTGCCTTCAGTTTTTCATAGACAAACTGCTGAAGGGAAACACTGTGCACCGGGTCTTCTAGAGCCAGCTGCAGCAGGGCAAAGAAAGCAGGAAAGAAATGGCAAATTACAGTCAGGAACATAAAGGTCAAAGTCAATGTTTTCAAATTAAGACAGAGGAAAGAGACAAAAGCAGTATGTTCACAGAGTATGTTTACAACAAACGTTATCTTATCAAATATACTTTTGTAATTAAATGTACATTAACAATTAGACCTAAACCATTTTATTGAATTTAGACAGTTTCCTGAGAAGAAATAAATGCAAACGTGTAGAAAAACATGGATTCAGTACAGTAGTCCCTCGCTTATCACGGGGGATCCATAGTCTAAACAATGTTTCCAAACGCTCTAAAAGAGCACAGAATGTCATGATTTCCCTCTCTCTGCCTCCTCTGCTCTCAGCCACCTGCAAGCGTTCTTGGCCACGCCCACTTCTCCACTCTGCTCAAAGATCAGCTGATCAGCTGCAGCACAAAGCTTATCCTGCAGTGTGGGCTGCACAAAGGTGCAGGAGGTGCTAAATACTTTAAATTAATTTATTTAAAATAAAAACTCCTTGCGAACGTGCAGCTCGTCCATCAACCAGCCAATTGTGTGCCATGTCCAATCCTATTTTGAAAAACTGCGATAGAGCGAGTCCGTGAAAAACGAACCATGAAGGAGCGAGGGACTACTGTATTTCTGCGTATTTAGTTTTTCTCACATATTTGCACAATTATTCTTCCTTCATTAAGATTCTGGTCACGTGTGAATGAAAAATATTGTTCACTTTACTAAATCTATAAAATAGAATAGAAACAGCTTTTATTGTCCCACGAACGGGAAATTCAAGTGTAACAGCAGCAACAGATAAAAGCATACACAAAAAAAAGTTCCTAAAATGTTAAAAACAATATATAAAGCTATATAAATCTAACTAGCTGGATACAGTACTAGAATTTGGTAAAGTGTATAATGTAACACAAGAAGACAGTTTCTGGTCCTTAGTGGAGTTTGTCAGCTATGATCTAAAAAATCTGCAAATATAATGTTTTCTAACAAAATAATAACTAGAACAGTTACAATTTTATCTATTATTATGCAAGATCTTGGTATTTAAAAGGGATAAACAGTCAGCAACAAACAAATCTCTTTCCATGCAGAGGTCAAGAAACAAAGCAGTGCACCGTATGTGCTTTATAATCAGTTTGTCATTTTTGGGTCATTTTATGAAGAAACGTCATCATTTATATAATTACAAAACAAGAAAACAGCCATTTGCACATCATAGATTTGCACATTAACGTTAAAGCTGACTAAATACTTCACCGGGGCTTATAGGACTTTCATCAGTAATGCTTCAACAATTTTTGAGCCTCTTTTGATGAAAAGTGAGGTGAAAAGAAACGCAGACAAGTTGCTATTTCCAACTCTGACATGTACATCTAACAAAAAACTTGGGAGAAAATGATTCAGTATATGCTGTCACAGCCATTTATCTTATGCCAAGGAAAGTGCTGGAAAAACAATCCTTGACAATAGAGTAAAATAGCGAGAGAAGTTGGATGGCTGGCGAGAGCCGATGCATTTTGGAGGGTAGCAACACAGTCATTTATTTTCTGTGAAGTGAAGCAAGGGCACAAACAAACAGCAGCACAGTAAAGTTCGAGAGCCTCCACTCTGAAAAATATACATGAATGTAAACAGTGTGAACAACATTCAGTAAAAACGACTACACAAATAACTTAAAAAAAAACCAACAAAAAATGGTCTAGAATTACAATACACATTTAATAACCTTGATTATATCAAGAAAGATACATTTTCTATAATTGTGTTTATTATCTGCATGCAATCTGACCTCAACTGAATTTGATTTTACCAAAGATTAATTTTGTTACATTTCTCGTTGACCTTCTTCCTAAAACCTTTTGTAAGCAGGTCAGAAAGATCGAGTCCACAGGAACAAACCTCCTCAGTGATCTAATGTATTTTACTGTCTCACACAAATGTGACGATTTGGCTCTTGCTCAAGCACAGACAGTCTTAATGCGCAGGAAGGACGTATAAATAACAAGGAGAAGCAGAATGCTGTAATAAAAATGTTTAGTCACTAATGGATCAGATAACAACGCTTGTCATGCAAATTTTTTCATCATCCCAGCGCAATCAAATGAGTGAAGAATGGTTTGGTGGAAAAACTGTCTTCTAACTCGCATAATCCTCTTCAGCACAATTGGGACGTGCGAGCGTGCGTGTGCACTGAGGACCAACCAAATCATTATGTGTGCTCGGGCCACAAATAAAAGCCTTTATACGCTCTCTTAATTACTATAACATCATTAAAATAACATTTTGTTGATTTTGTTAAACAATGGGTTATTTTTTATTAAGAAGCCCCAAGATACTTAACCCACTTTTTAAAAGATGAACTGCAAATTTAATTAGTGTTTAAATATTGGCTTACAGTGTAATTAAATTATTGCAGAAAATGGTACCACATAGGACTGTGGGACAGATATCACCCAGCAACCATTCTGAATAATAATTTTCTGGATTAGCTTCTTGATCTCAACTTGCTGCTTCTGGGGACGGACCCTGCAGTGAGCAGCAGCTGAAGCAGATGGCCATGTCATGAGGTTGGGGTTTGGTTGTAACTTGATACCACTTCTATTTTGGAAAAAAAAAAAAAAACATTCTCCTTTTTTGTCACTGTTGGGTTTACTATCTGCATGCAGGGGTTTCTGTGTTCATTTGTCTACTGGGTCCAAAAACTTCAGGAAAAAATAAAAATTACAAGCACAAAGAGTGTTTTTGATCAATTCCCATTTGTTCTTCATTTTACTACTCTCAACATTTTTTTTTCTTTCAAGTCATGTACCTGTTTTGTTATCATATAATTCTTCCCATTCTGTTTATGGTCTTACCATGAGGCATTCTGTTCCTATAGATCCTGTACAAACTGGCAAAAAATACACCAACACTGGCTAAAGTTTGGCTTTTGTCTGAGATCACAAGAGATGAGCAGTACACCGATGTCCCCCGTCGCTGAGAGATTTGAATAGTGAATGTTTGTAGTTTTCAAGATAAATGTTTATCCGGACTGGAATCGATCAGGGAATGCAAGTAAATCTTAAAGTTTTGAGCGCAAGGTATTCAAGTGGGTAGGAGTTACACAGTGTATAAAAACTGTAGTTTTTTTTGTTTGCTTGTCCGAGGTGGCACAGAGTGATGGATACTGGAGAGCGGCGGGAGCATTTAAAAAAATTATTTTAGGAAACTACTTTTAAGCAATATAAAAACAAAAAAGCATAAGCTGCTTTGCCATTGATGAGTGCGACTCCACTCGGCTCTCATCTTATAGGTTCTTCTCAGATGTGGGTAATTTACCACTGTGACTTGTTTTCCTGCTCTGTGGGTTGAATGGTCAATGCAAAGTGGGCGGAAACGTAACAGGTCATTGTGTTCAGGCCACTCCGCCCGTTGCAGTCCTTAATTGCCCTAAAATCAGACTTTAATTTCTTTAGATATCCCGATGCATGCTCAATTTCTTTAGCTTATCCCAGCAGGTGCAGCCATGCTGCGCCATCATCTCTGATATATCTCGGTAAATGTGGTCCTTTCTTGCGGTGCCGTCCAGCTCACGCTGAATCCTAACATTGACCGATAAAGTTAGGAAGGTCTGTACCTCATCATTGGTCCAGGGCACTATCTTTGAAGCTTCCATACCAGAAATTAGCAAAAAACAAGACACACTCAACACGGTCAGAAAGGAAGTGTATGTTCAGATGTAGTTTGCAGTTCTGCTGGGCGGGTCATCCAGCAACGAAGAGCCACGGGCCATTTAATGGCTGCTGTCTGCTTACATCAAAACTGTCACCTCTTGGCAGTTCACTTGGAATGACAGACAAGGTGGTTCCATGAACCGGGTTGAGTAGAAGTGGGTACCGGCAGTGGGCAGGCTCTTAACTGGTGCGGTGTGGTGCGGAATCGATGAGTTCAGACACAGTGTCAAAAAGCCAATAGTTTTCTTAAATGAATGGGGTGGCCGAGTCTCTCTCTCTTTCTCACACACACACTCATGCACACACGTATATGTGTGTTTAAATACATGCCGGTACGTAAAGTTCAGATTTTAGAAGTGGTGTTTTTTGGACTTATCTGTTTGGAATAACAGGCAGAAGTTTTCTCTGATAAAAAACAAAGTAGTAGTTGGAAAAGTAAAAAAGCAACAGTATTTGAATCAATAGCCAGAAATTAACTTTCAGCTGACCCCTTCTTGGTGAAGTTAGCTCAAATGACTTATAAAAGCATCTGATATTCCTAATTAGTAATGCTTTAATCGTTGTCTTCATCAGGTAAGACAGTGATTACTGATCACCACTATATGTAATATCTCTTCAAAACATCACAACTAATTAAGTATATTTATTTAATGAAAAAAAAGATTAATCACAAAAAACATTTGTTAACGTGTTTACTACTGGGGGATGCTAATTACTCTCAGAGTCATTACAATTATTTGATCTAAGATTATCAATGTGTCAGATCCATTGGAGCATTGATTGAATGTGACAGTTATAAGGGAAATCCATCCATCCATTATCTTTATCTGCTTCTTCCATTTTGGGTCACGGGGGTTCACCGGTGCCCATGTCCAGCAATCACTGTGCGAGGGGCGGGGTACACCCTGGACGGGTCGCAAGTCCATCACAGGGACACATAGAGACAAACGAGACAAACAACCATTCACTCTCTCACTCACACCTAGGGACAATGTAGAGTTACCCATCAGCCTAACATGCATGTTTTTGGTCTGTGGGAGGAAACCGGAGTACCCGGAGAAAACCCACACATGCACGGAGAGAATATGCAACCTCCACCCAGGAAGGCCCCCGGACCGGGATTTGAACAGGCAACCTTCTCGCTGAGAGGCAGCAGCTCTATCAGTTGCGCCACCGTGCTGCCCTATAAGGGAAATCAATATTTTTTTTTAAATAACAGCAAACTTATATCAATTTTGTCCTTCTCTCCTGCAGTTGATTACA